GGCTTAAAGTTTGAATTAGGATTTTTTTTCAGGCAGTATTAGCAGAGAGGTGTAATTTGGAAAGTTTAATGGTAGACAGTTGAGGAAACAGGTTGAAGAAGACTTATTTCACATTTTCTCCTAACAGAAGTGACACTGACTTGCCTAATCAGTCTAGTCTCTTAAAAGAGGTGGCTTTCCAGAAACCTCCACCTGGAAATGTGGCTCAGCTGATCTTGACTGTATTAGACAAAGAACTTTCTTCTCAGCTTACAGTGAAGTGGCCTGAAAAACTCCAATCTTGATCTAGAGATTGTTAGGAGGAAAAACAGGACAAGAGAGGAAGGGGTTTTAACTGGTCTCTGTATTCTTTGCATCGACTGTTGGCTGAAAGACGTCCTGTTGGCTCAGGAACATTTCATACCATAATCTTCCTGAACACCAAACTTCATATTCAATCCATTTTGATTTTTTGCCTCTACAATTCATAGAAGGGTTCTCAAGGTTTTAAATTATTTCAATGTTTATACTTGCCAGTTTCTTCTTTTTTTTTTCTTGCTGTCATATTATTCTTTAGACTGTAATGTTCATCTCCATCTTTAATATCATCCTGTACCACAACAAGCATGCAGACAGCAACTGTAGGACCTGTCAGTCTGTGTTTTCCCAAGTTGAACAAACCCAACACCGTTAAGTTTACTATGGGAAGATTCTGTACTCCCACATCATTTTAATATTTTTCCTCTGTTCCTTCTCAGCACGAATTAATCCTAGAACATGTAGGTGATGGTAAGCAAAGGGCTCACTAGTTCTTTGTATAACAACACCCCATGATGATGAAAATTCCCTCTATTTGCTGGAAATGCCTTGGCTACTACATCCTGTATTTATTTTTTTTTTCTTTTCTTACAGCTACATCACACAGATAATTATTCTAAATTTGACTAATTCACCTAGCCCTTTCTTCCCCTGCCTTATTCCCAGGTCAGAGCAGAAATTCCTGTTGCTACCCCCTCCAAAGCCTGACCTTGTCCTGTTGAAATTGATGCTAATTATTACTTGTCAGAACATTAAAATATTCTACTCTTGATATTTCACACTGTTGAGGCTGCCCAAATTCCCAACAGCAAATGTAATTCCATATATTCCCTTCCATTTCAGGCAATATTAGAATGATGGCCCCAAAATGAGGTCTTTTCTTCCTACTAATTCCCTGTCTTGCAAAGCCTGCTGCAGGCTCCTTCTTAGCCCATTCCTCACCACTTTACAACTCTTCCACTAATCCCCAGCTTCCTCCTTTTGATTATTCATTTTCTGCATGGCACTGATAAACTGCTTTACTGAGGTTCAATTAGATTAGATTGCCTTTGACTGAAAAAACTGTTATCAAAAAGCAAGAGATCTGATTCACCACCTACTTTTGGTGAATCTATTTTATATTTTATCCCATGTATCAGCATCCTATCTTTTAATTTTTCTATCTGTCAGATCCTTTTGTAAGATCTTGCATACTGCTGAGGCCGTACCTTTTCTCCCTTCTTTCCTTAGTGCAGACACTGCACTTCATTTTCTGCAGTGAAATTGCTGTCCTCTAATTTGACAAGCTTATTAAAAACGCTGTCCGTCAGGCTTCCAGTTTCATGAGCCAAACACCACCCCAGAATGCCAAGTAACTATTTGGTTTTGAGCCTTTATCTCATCTCCTGCATATTTAAAAGTTGGTTTTTTTTTTGAGTTTTGCTGCTACCTCAAATGGAGCAAATTTCACCCTGCACCTTTACTCCCCTACTCATTTTCATCAATGTACATGCTAGCCCTGATGAAGACTCAGATAAGGCATTTATGAAATGTCTGAAATAGCTTTTCTCCTCAGTACCCCCGTAGAGTGGCCCTCTTTTTTTCTTGTTCTCTATTTCAATTACAAGATTATACAGCCTTTTAGATTTGCTTTAGCTTCCTTTGTAGGGGCTAATGCAACCTGACAAAGTGAGAATTGTGAAAAGTCCTCCTCCTCTCTCAGTTTGCCTTCCTTGACATTCGGTGCATTTACACCCTCCAGCTCATTTTTCCCAAACAAAGAAGGGGTCAGAGTTTCTGCCAGCCGCATTCTTTGCATCTCACTTGTGAACAAGAGCAAATGTGATAATTGCTCCAGCGTGGATGAAGAAGAAAGTCAGGAAGCACAGAGAAGAGAAACGTGACTCAGGAAAACCCAGTCTACCCTGTGCCGGAACACTGAGGCAGCCTATCCCTTCTACACATTATTCTCAGTACAACAAAGTTTCTCTCAAATGCACACGGCAGATGAGACACTGTTTCACTTGTAAGGGTTTTCACACAGGAATTTCCCACTTTTCCTCAGCAATTCATTCTTTCCTTCCCTGCCACCTTCTCACATTATCTCTGGCTAGAAAAATGGAAGCAAAAGTCTTGGGAACCCCCAAGGGAGAGAATTCAGAGCAGGTAAGACACTGCTATGCAAAAGTCAATGCTGATTTTTTACCCAGTTTAAGGAACTGGCAAAGTTTGTATGCAGTTAAAAAGCACTTTGCCGCTTTCTTTAGCTGTGGAAGCAAAGTCTTCTAAACTCAATCCTTCGATTCTTTTGCCTGATCTCAAAACCTTTCGACTACCAACAGTCCTCCAAACATTTTCTGATGGGAAACACATAGCCCACACGGTTCCAGTGTAAGCAAAAGGAGATTATAAACTAAAAATATGGTGGCTAGCTTACAGAACAAAAAAAGTAAGTTTCTTACAGCTCAAATCCTTGTAAAATAAAATAACTGTATAAACTGCATTAAGACCCACCCAGGCAGGCAGCAGTTTTAGACTTCCCTGTTTTGTGAAAGACATTTTCCTCCGCTTCTGTTTTGCTCCATCTCCTCCCACGCAAGCCGTAGCACCCCAGAGTAATTCTGTACAGCAGAATACTTAAGACAGGCCTGCTCTATTCTCCCTCCTTAGAGGTACAATCTCCAAATTTGTCTTGGGAAGCACGTTTTAATAGAAAGACTTGGAGCTCCCCTCCTGCAGCCCTCCCTGCTCTCAAACTCCTGAAGGCAGAAAACAGGCAGCACAAGGGAGCCCTGTGGAAGATTTACAACTTTTTCCACCTTTTTGGGGATGGTGACATACTGCACAAGCAAGGAGAGCTCCCATGAAATGCTGCAGGGTTCTAACAAAGAGATTTCATGCCAGTCTCCGCTACAGCCCATTCACATCCCACACCACTGCCTCTGGGCAGAGCAGCTCCCCGCAACCCGGACATCCAGGGCAGGGTAAGAGGGAAACAGGCCGCGCTCATACCTTTCAAATGGCAAGCTGAAACTCTATACGTTCAACACCAAGATTTCCTACGCGGAATCCAACTTCCTTAAAGACCTGGGCAGTCTTAGAAGCCAGATCTACTTTGAGAAGTATTATATAGGGCGATGTCCAGAGATCAGACGCACTCTTGCCAAAATGCCATTTATTGCGGTATACCTTTACATGGCATACAGATAACCAAATGTTGCATCTTCTGTTAGAACTCATATTTCATTTGTACCACTTAAATAACACAGAATGTCATGTTTGTTTCACAAACTGTCAGTTTAGACTACCAAAATATACAGTTTTTTCTCCTTTCCCCCTAGCAAGGTCATGAGGTACAACTGAAGTTTACCACTTTATCTTCCTGTGCTTTACAAGAACCTTTTCATAGATAAACCTATCAAACAACATTTCTACATTCCTATACAAAGCAAAGAATTACAGCTGAAATTAACACCATCTGGTCATTGCATTAACCTATAAAAATTCATTCAGTAACAAAAAAAAAAAAAAGACGTAATGGACTTTGCAGCTTTACTTAACAACAGCCAGCTACATGTATGCACGAGTTTTCCTTGTGCATAAAGAGTTTGGAATCAAGAAGTGGTGTTTTTTTTTCTTGGGTTTTCAGAGAAGGCACCAATTTTAGCTGCGTAGCAGCTCAGGAGTGTTATATACTTCATTTAAATTACACAGGTTTTTAAGTTTTACCATTAATGTGCAACATCTGTACGAATTGTTGCAATGTTCTCCAATATTCTCCAATCATTCCCTCTGGCTCAACAGTACAAATATTTACATCAGTTGTAAACACTCCTCCACCCACCCCACACTTTCTGCACTGAGTGATGAGGACCTGAACTTGCAAGAAGCTAACCAAAGGCAGAGCAGAAGTAAGGCTTGTGCAGAACACCACACTTTTCTTCTCACTCGGTTTGAGATACTCTGGAGACCTCCAGACCCTCAATGAGGTCTCAGTGCCTCGCATCTGACAGCACATTGACCGCCAACAGCTTCATGCATCCAGACTCTCCTCAGGAGGTGCTTTTTGGCCCTTACTAGTCTGACATCCCTGGAGCTGCTTCTCTCCAAAGTGCAGGAACAGCTTCTGAAGAACCGTTCCAGAGTTGCGAGAGTCAAGCACGCCAACTGTTGTATATATTTAGGGCCATCTACACTTAGCCTTCATCAGGCTTGTTTCGGATGCTATGCTTCTCTGCTCCTTAGCTGCGAAGTCATGATATGCTGCTTTCTACCTTCCACCCCTGTGTGCCCAGGTACTCTGGGGCACAGACAGCAGACCACGTTCCGAGCCAACCACTGTAAACGGTGCAGAGAGAGGTAGGTGCTACAACACGCCATCGGTCGCCTGGCGACTACACAGTAGCGTGGGGTAAGAGTACTTGCAGCACGACAGCCCAGCCTAGAATCAGCACCTGAGAAGAGGGAACGTCTGAGATGAGACTGCTTAGAAAAATCTACTTCTTACCTAAGCCTAAAAAGAGCAAGAGGGTACTGGGACAGTCCGACGCTATCGGTAAGATGAACTCTCCACTTAGTTTTGGGGTCTTTGGGGTTTGTTTTGTATTAGTGTATGCACCAACCGCTTAGGAGCTGGTTCTGAGTATGGGATAATGCTTCCAAAATATAAGTTATTTTAAACCACATGACAGTTATTTGCTTACCCTGCCCCTCACACCTTTCACTACAAACCATGTTCAGCTTGATGTTTCATAGGTATTAAGTGCTCCAAATATGGCAGTTAGAAAGAGCTAGAGGATTGCAGCGTAACAAGCATCTGCCCAGCGCAGCCATTTGTTACACTTAAAACACATCTATGAGTTAAATAGGAAGGATCCCTGCTATACAGAATTTGAGCACTGATGATAGTTTATTCTTGCTAGCCCTTTCCCTAAATATCAAGAGGTTTATACATACAGTGCTCTCTTATCTTCTCCCCACCGCCCGCCCCAGCAGTCTTTAGATAAACCAAAGTGAGTCTAGGAACTTGCAGTCCCACTTCTGTTTAAAAAAAAAAAAAAAAAAAATGTGCAAGAAAGCGGGGAATGTTCAATGACTCCAGATCTACTTTGTAGTTATAAAATTTCCAATGGCAAAGTGGTAAGGGCAAATAACCCAATGATCATATGGCTTAAGTTTAATGCAAAGCACACTAGGAGGTCCACGTGCAGGGAGAGAAGAGTCCAAGAAAGATGGAATAAGAAATGTCCTGAAGATCAGTGTTTATGCATAGAATTCTTCTTGTTTGTGTGGTTTTTGGTATCCTCCGTTAGACTGTTTTGGTTCATCCAGTGAATAGCTGCCTTCGTCTTTCTTCTTCATTCTGTACAGCATAAATGCAACTAGAAACACCGCAAACACCAAGCCTACTAGTCCTCCAGCAATAACACCTAGAAGGGGAAAAGAGCCACAAATTACTCTAGGCACTACACCAGATAATACGGGTATGATTGTAAGTTCCCGGTTGTTCTTTACTACGCAGTCCCTGACTTCACGACTTTCAGAAATTCATTTGTCCTTTTGCCCCTCTCCCAAACCAGCCCCCCTGCCATTACCAAGAGCCCGCTCATCTACAGGAGGTAAACTTAGAGAAACATCTCCCACCGGACCGTGCTGCAAAGCACGCAAGGCTACGTTGTTCAACTCTGGTAATCTGACTCAGGCAGCATTAGAGCAGCGTTACTGTAGTTTTTGAGAGGAGCAAAGGAATAGGTTTAAACATAAAATTCCAGATAACTAGCAGTAGTTGCTTTGCTTTTAGCAGATTTAATATTTGCCCCTGTTGGGGTTTTCACAACACAGGATCATGAATCACCACCCTCATTTCAGAGGTCTAACATAAAAAGTTGGTTTTCATGCTCAGAGATGTACTTGCAGAACTGCAGCTTCTGCTGCCTGGAAGACTCCTACAAGAGCCTGCTTTTACCAACTAGAAATCCAGAATATCAGGTACCTCCAAGAACTTCTTTTCTGTCCATAATTCCCGCGGCTCCTGCTGCTTTGGCATTCCTCCCAGAGTCAGCCGGCACTTCTGAGTTCTGGGTGGGGACCAAATCCTCATCTTTAGTCAAGATAAAGTCTCCCTGTTGGGACATACAAGGCAAGTTATTCATGTTTCTCATCATGTCTGTTACTAGAGACTTTCCACAGCTTTGTTTTTTCTCATGTAAAACTCTCCACCAATATAACCTATTAAATCACTGTTTTTGACAAATTACCACCCTTTTCTGCAAAACCAACTTACTACATACTACTAAAGCCATCCCACTGCAAAGGGTGTCAAAGCTATTAGTCCTCACCGGGTCTCCAGAGCCATCTTCAGAAACCTCCTCATGTGTAGGAACAACATCCTTTGGTGCTGCTGTCGTGTGGGTGGCAGTGATGTCTCCCTCATGATGGATGGTAGCGTGGGGGTCAAGCACGTCTTTAATGTCTGGCACATCAGAGCTAGGGATTTTAGGTTCAAGCTCATGGACTGTGCCTGAGGCTTCTGAAGGAGTTACATGAACCACTGAAGGAAAGTGAGTAGTGGGGCTTCTCACTGTTGTTGTAACCACATCATTTGTTGGTTTTTCATCAGGTGAGCCCAGGATGGGTACTTCATCCTTTACAGCTACAACTGGCTCCTCTGTCACAACATTACTAGTTGCAGAAGGAGATATTACTTCTTTTTCAGTTCGGCTCTCAATCCCAGGAAATGGCTGTTCATTGAAATCCACTGGTGTTACCACTAACGAGGAATTAGTTGGTTCTTCTGAGATTCTCCAGGTGTGAGACTGGTCAGTCAGGGGACCTGCAAAACAAAACAAACAAACAAAAAAATATTATCCTTGACCAGTTTAGAGACCTACTAATAGTATCTTCAGGACGCTGGTCTCAGGAGGATGTCTAACCTGCATAGCCAGTTTTCATAACAACAGAGGTTCAGTTTGTAATTCCTTATCCTTTTCGGTGGAATAAGGACAGGACAGACCAATGCACTATTTCAGCAATACTTTGTTAGTCACCTGCTTCTCCCCAAGGCACAAGTGCCAGTCTGCTTGCAGACAAGTCAACAAGGGGGACGTCTGCTTTCAGTACACTGGTTGCTCAGGATGGTTATCTGACTTTTTCCCCATAAATATCTTTTATCTGATTCAGAGCAGTCACCCATATACTCAACACCTTTAGCCACTGGCACATTTGGCTCTGATTTCTGGGTCTTATTCCTGCAGAATTTAATTGAAAATATAAGCACATGGCTGGACGGTAGCAGGAGACCATGTTTTAGCTTTCAATAGCTTGCTCTTTCCTCAGAAGCATCTCCTCTACTTCAGCAGTGAACACTTCTCTCTCAGGCAGCTTAGTAATCATTCCGATAGACTTCTTCCCCACCCTTAACACACTTTATTCTGCTTTTAAAAAATTATGGTCCATGGGAACTTACACACCTGATGACAAACAAAATTTGCACTTAATGTATGTTGGCAGGTTGAGGTTTACACACCCTCAAATGGTATCTCCTACCAGCTCGTAAGAGAGGACAAAGGCCCTTCTTACGGTCTCTCATGCCCATGAGTAAAGAATGACTCCAGTTTCATAACATTCTTCACGCAGTATCTCATATTGGCAGTAACATGGAGTATACCTACTTCTGCTCCTTTTCAAGTCTCCTACAACTCATTTTCTGCTAATTGTTAGTATCTGAAGCAATACAAGATGAATAGATTACGATTTTTCTCTGTTCCCAACTCCCATATTGGGGGGGGGAGGGGGGGGGGGGGGGGGGAATTCCTTTCTCCCTCCCCCCCTTGTAGCATGGATGCTCATCAAAATCTCAATTGACACATTCTGGAAGGATCAAGCACTAACAGTACAAGTGGTAATAACTCACCTGCGCCTGAACCTGAGAATGCATCGTCGTCATCACCAGATGAATCGAGATCTTCAGGAGGAAGGTTCAGATTTGTAGTTTGCTGTAAAGAGAAGGGGGAAAGGTGTGTTAATGATGAGATTACTTTAAGTTACCGTGTTGCTTGTGCAGAGTCCTCTAAGGGCTCTGGAAGGTTACACAAACTTTCTTTGTTCGGATTCCATTTTTATATCTTTCTTCATTCCATCCCCCTTCCCCAAAAGAGTAGTTCTGGTTTGTCTGTTTGGTGTTGGGAAGGTCAGTCTTGCTGTCTCCCTTCTCTGTGCTGCTTCCAGGCTGCACTTGCTTTGAGAAAGAAGAAAGCAAGGAATCCCTTCAGAGCTGCATTGTGGTAGCAGCTGAAGCTCAGTCCTTACACAACACGACCATTCTGCTTCTGGTTCTGACCACTCGTGTCTTCACTATCTACCAACCGCTTCATATGTGAATTACTGCATTACTTCTAAGGAGCAGAAAGGAAGGGGAGACAAAGTTGTCTTCTCTGCCTTTTTGAGCTCTTCCAGCACTGTCCACATATCTGAAACTACAGCACCTAACTGAAAGTAGAATGAGATTCCCTTTTTATAACTGTGGGTGCTCAGACTTAGATAGAAACCAGCCTTCCATGTGGGAGAATGCAGCCCTCAGGTTTCTCCATTGATGCTTCAATGAGTACACTAACCAGCACAGAAGTTCAGTTGCTAAAACAAGTGGCCAAACCCCTGTTTGTCCTAACACACAACGTTCAAAGCTGTTCAGCATACCCAAAGAAGACAACACTAAATAAAGCAGAACAATTACTTCATGCATCTTGTTGGCCTCTGCTGTATACACTTACTGTTCCTATCGGTAACACGGGCTCGACTCTCAACTCATGACTAGCCCCAGGTACATTTCTGCAGGGTTACCATTACCTAGCCAGCTATTCTCCCTTCTCAGATTTCAAACCAAAGCCCTGTAAGTCAGTTCTTCTGAATTTCATCTTTTGCCATCCAACTACATTCCCTGTTTTCCAGAATGTTGACTTCTATCCCATCCTCAAGATGCCCTCGTCATCCCTTTCCAGCACTGCCCCACCTGCAAGTTTAGGAGATACTGCATTTCATCATCCAAGCTGATAATGGTTTTATTGGAAGCGTGAAATCTCATTTTGTTATGTAAAAAGAACAACATACATTCCTGCCAGCTTTGCACCCAGACCCACTGTACTTCTCCAACATGTATTAACACAGTGTCACTTAAAAATGACGATAACACTCATCTTCACCCTAGGAAGAAGTTAGCCAGCACTAGTATGATCTGTTAAACAAAGCAATTGAGCTCTCTCATTGTCACTTTATTACCTACACGGCTGTATTTATTGGCCCTATCTCCTTTTCATCCTTTTAAGATACCAGGTTTATCCAGTTTTCTCCTCCATCCTTAATACCTTATCCGTTCCCCACATTTCCATAGAAGAATTAGTTACCAAGGTGGTTAACTAGCCCATTAGATTTGACCTTTCCAAAGACCCAAGATCTCACCCCTTCCAGGTGATCATTGCAGTTAGATGACTTCTTTTTTTAAATAACAAAAGAGTAAGAACAAAAAAAAAAACCCTCATATAGACATTAAACTTTTTAGTACTATCCTTCTCTACCGGAAAAACAAACCAAACCACACCACTTTTCCTCAAGCTTCAGCAAGCAATTTCTATAGCAACTTCTACGAAGAAATCTTCTGTTTAGCTGCATGTCATGAGGTAATTTGGATTTTTAGATTTGTCCCTGCTTGTTTGCGCTGTGCTTTTGCAGTCATCCATGGAAAGTAGGTCAGATAAGTACTTCCTCTAAGTTTTCCATCTTGTGTCAAAGGTCAGTGACTCACACAGGCTGATCTCACTACACTTCAAATATTAAAGAGTATGAACTGTTAGTGCAGAAAGGAAAAAGAACTGCTGGGCTTCCCAAACTGGTCCCTTGAGTGTCCTTTCCAGGACATTCAGAACTGAAGTCAGACATCAGAAATTGCAACATTTTGGTTGATGGGGGGGTTGGGGACCATTTTTCTTCCTCCTTTCTTGCACTAGCAGTGGCAAGCACAATCCTTAGTTCTCCCACTCAGCTTGGTTTTGAGTGCAAAAGAGGGATGCATTGCAAAAGGTGGGGTGCATTCTCCTCCCAGTGGGAAGGCTCTACCTTGAAGCAGTTAGAAAGCAATCTCTCCAGCTTTTTATTGAAGAAAAGGACTGCCCATACAGTTTAAGACATGTCGCCATACATCTTTATCTAGGATTGAGACTAACTTCCCCCTCAAATCTGAATCTTCACGGGTAGCTCATCAGGTGTTCTTGGAAATCCTGTAAGAGATTTGATGGCCTGCAGACCTTAGCAACACTCCTGAAAGGATCACAGACTGTCCAGAAATGAAAGAGCAACTCTTGATCTTGACTACAGAGCCAGCACCCCTTCCTTCCCCTCATGGTGTCAATGGATGAGGTTTGTTCAGTCATGCCACACTTCATTTCTTGTTATCCAGCGGGTTCAGCCAGTCTACTCTTCCATCTCCCCTCACACCTGAGCTTCTAGCCTCTTCATGTCCTGCTTCTCCATAGACTTTGTCGTGTACTTGTTTGAATCCTAGTTTGATTTCTGGATCTTAGCAGGGATAGCTAGGTCCTCCTCGAGGAAAGTCCAGGGCGATCCAGTCTAAACCAATGGAGACCTATGCTGTTCCAGTGTAGAGCTGCCCAGTTGCTGCCCAGCAGCCACCTTGCAAACATGAAGGCAGACTGAGACCAGTTCCTGTCCCCTGAGGTTAGCTACTGGACTTCAAGAAACACGATTTAGGATTAATAGTCTGCTTTCCACAGCTTTATATGAGAACTTAGTGAAGTTGCACTAAATGTGTCCTTCTACTTGTCCCAAAGGATTTTGACCCAGGCTGCTCCTCTGGGAGTTGCAGCATCGCCCTTTGACCAGGTAGTTTAAGGCCTGGGATCTGAGGGACTTTCTTTGCCCCAAACACTCAAGGGACAGGACAGGATTATGCACACGTGGATACCAGTCAGAATATTCACAAAGCGATGTAGCTTCATGACATCATCCAGTTTCATGACACATGAGCATTAAGGAACATTTGCCCAATTTATGTAACTGTATGGTTATATAAAGACAACACTTTTTGCTCCACAGACTACAGCTTCAGTAGGCATGACAGGCACTAACCTTTCCTTATGGCACCACAAAATACAAGTACTGCAGAAAGGTCACGCTTCTATGATGATGTGCTGCTGAAGGATTTCAGACACAGCAAGGTTAACATAAAGCACTGACTCAGGACACCATTGGAAGGGATTGAACTAATTTGGGTTTGCATCAGGAAGATGGACCGTGCTGTTCAGCCAACAAACACTTCATGGTCAAGGCTTTTCCATGACCTTTTATTACAGCTGAGTTACACCAATGAGAAAGGTTTTGATTAGTCAAGAGGATTAGGGGCGCAGAGCACAGATTGAATCACCAGGTTGTGTTATCCTATGAAAGAGCTGAAAATAAATTCCATCTTAAAGCAAGATTGCTCTACCAACAACTTTGCGTTACTTTAGCTCAAAATTTTATTATCAGGCTGTTAGATATAATCAGACAATGTGGATGTGCTTTCAGAAATTACTTCCATCATCATCCAGTTTATTTTTCAGTCCACTGAGACTATTTGTGGGCCATTCACATTGTAATTGATGCCAGAGAGGCCGGATGAACACATTCAAGTTCAGGCAGTGGATCCTTTGAAGGATCTCTGATGGTATCTCATGTATTCTTGTCAAAAAACTTTCAATCCTTATACTGCACCTACAGCATGTTGCTTTTTTACCATTTAACAAGCTCATATTTTTTTAGTTGGTTTTTTTTTTTTTTAGCTGCTCAGAGGACTGATGAGAAATACTTGCCCGGCCCTTTTGGAGTCACCCAATTTGGTTGCAAGGGGTGAAATCTTTACCAGCCTTTTTGATACGTATTAACCAGTTCCCATTAACCAGTGGAAAACCCCCTTCCCCGAGTACCAAAGCAGCCTGTTTAGGGGGAACCCTGGGGAGATGGTTCGCCTCTGCTCTTGCTGAGCACTGTATTGTTGCAGAACAATAGTTATTCAGTTCTGCTGGGACAACCAGAAAGCTGCTTAGTGGTATCTTCAATTTAATCAAGACTGGGCCAGGCTTTCACAAATCATTACCAATATTATTGGCTCCAGAAGTCTGACATGCTTCAGACTTATTTATTTATTTATTTTTAAAGTATCATTTCTAACTATTCTTCAGTCTTCATTTTGGTCCCAGTTTCAATGCATGAATCTTTCTGTGCTTATCCCATCAGCTGGCACCGAGTTCCCCCCTGCTGGAGCACAGATCTCAAGCAGTCTCTCATGATGGAGAGATTTGTAGTTTATTAGTTGATCTCACCCCACCCAAACCGGGAACCACATTTCTTTAATTTGGAGCCATGGTATAGTAAAAAGCAGCAGCTTTTTTTTCAAATCACTCTTTCAGGTAAGCAACAACACTGGCTTTTCCACAAGCTGCTACAAGCCCTAAACTAGATTAAGGATGATTTGTATCCCACTCTTATTAATCCTAGTTAGTGATCAGCCTATTACAGCAGTGTCAAAAACACTTGAAATCCTCCATTATCTGAACAATGCTGTTAAATTTGCACATTTGTTTCTCCTAATAAATCCTTCTTATTCAGCTGAAAAGCAATGAGCTGTAATGAGCTCTCCCACTTCAAACTCCTCCCTAAGCCTCCTGCAAGATTCTTCCAACTTTATGGGAAGCAAAACCAATGGTCTCCTCTTGATTGAGAGAGATATATAAGAACAAGACAAGCATTTGCTCTCTAATTTGTCTACCAAATATGACACTGGAGCATCTAGAAAAAGACTTTCATGAGTATTTGAACAGCTTTAAAATAAACTCAAACAGAAAGGTTTGTCTTTGACCTTTTATCTATATAGTGAAGAACAAAGCCAGAGCTGCCAACAGAAATGCTGTCTGAGTTTTTAACCTCAGAATATTGATATTACTATGTG